TGAGGCTTCAGTGAGCCACGATGGTGCCACTGCACTCCAGCCTGGGCAACAGAGAGAAACTGTGTCTCTAAAAAACATAAAAACAAAAAATTTAAAGAGCAAAGCATTTGAGCATTTGCGTGTGTGCGTGTCCACTGAAGGATGCAGAAGATGGAAACAGAAATCTTCAGAAATAGCTACTTAGAAATAACTAAGGTAAATATAGTTTATAGCTCTTCAATTACTCTATGCAAATTTCCAAATCTCTGTTCTGAATGAGTCAAGGCAAAGGCATGAAAACACCCCTACAGGGCTGCATGTCCACATCTGTGGTAGGTTGCAGACCAAAAGCTTCCCATGTCAGTGCCGAGTGGACTTCTAAGTCAGCTGTGTATTACCGCTCTGAGTCCCTTAAGAGAGCTGTCGTGAATCACCACAGCAGGGGTGAGACGCCATTCTGCCTGTGCTCCTGACTGACATTCACAGAAACACTGAGCGCGTACATGCAGTGCACCAAACATGGGTGATTCATTCAAAAGAAATCTGCCAAAACAGAACGACAAGTAGAGCTAGGTTTAATGGTATGCTCCCTGAAAACTTCTGGAACACATCTCTGGTATGTTCTCAGGTGCCAGTCAGCTTCTAAGAAGGCAGAGTATCCTCATCTCCTGTCTCCTATTACCCTTGCTTTTCATCAGGGAGTGTTCAAGAGGAGGCAGCAGGTAGCAGCAGCCTTTAAAAATTTGTCAACAGCCTGTAATCCCAGCACTTTGGGAGGCCGAGGAGGGCGGATCACGAGGTCAGGAGATCGAGACCATCCTGGCTAACACGATGAAACCCTGTCTCTACTACAAATACAAAAAAAAAATTTAGCTGGGTGTGGTGGTGGGCGCCTGTAGTCCCAGCCACTCGGGAGGCTGAGGCAGGAGAATGGTGTGAATCTGGGAGGCGGAGCTTGCAGTGAGCCGAGATCGCGCCACTGCACTCCAGCCTGGGCGACAGAGCGAGACTCTGTCTCGGGGGGGGAAAAAAAACTTGTCAATAAAAGGCAGCAGTTGGTCACCTGGAACAGTGCGGCTGAACTCACAGTATTTGACACCAAATACACTTCGCCTCCAGCTGCCACCTCCCAGGCCAGGCCTCTAGCCCACCCTCCATACTGATGCTAGCTCTAGGCACTCCACTCCCCTACAGAACCCCCTGCAGTGCCCTGCTGCCCCAGGACCAGGCCAGACCCTGACTCACGGACACACCCTCCCCCATCTGGTGTTCTTTTTGGCTGAGCTATCTGAAAGAGCCTTTGCTACCCTGTGTCCATGCGGCAAGCCCCATCTATCCTTTACTATCCTCAGCTATCATGATTACAAAGGCTTTCCACTTCAGCCCTGCTGGATGGTCTCCACCAGCTTCTGTGCAAATTCCCTATCTTGTACGTTAAATCATTTAACAAATAATTATTACGCACCTAATAGATGTCAGGCATTGGGCCCAAGGAAACAGGAAGAGCGATACTGACAAGATCCATATGCCACACTATGCTTATCACACTGAACTGTAATGATTTCTGGGCTATCTTTAAGACGGAAGTCACGTTCTACTTATTTCAGTATTGGTAGCCCTTAGCCCAATGCCTGGCACTTAGTATGTATCCAGTGGACATTTTTGTGATTGTAAAAAATAAGGTTCCAACTAGCTGCTAATCAGCTTTTACAAGTAACTTAATAATGACAAAAGTAGCAGGCATTAACATTTATTGAGCATCTACTATATTATCAGGTATTGTCCTGACCCAATTACATGTATTATTTAATTTCCAGAACATCCTATGAACAAGATGTTACACAGCTCCCACTTTACAGAGAAGAAATCTGTGGCTCTGAGAGGCCAAACATCTAAAGAACACGTACACATGGGCTGTCTAGTAAAGATCTCCACAAAGCTGGGAATGTCTTCGCATGTGCTGTTCAATACAGTAGCCAGTGGCCACACGTGGCCGTTCAGTGTTTGAAACGTGGCTGGTGCAACCAAGAAAAGGAATTTTGAATTGTATTTTAATTCAATTTAATTTAATTTAATTTGATTTAGTTTTTGAGACAGAGTCTCACTCTGTCGCCTAGGCTGGAGTGCAGTGGTGCAATCTCGGTTCACTGCAACCTCTGCCTCCCGGGTTCAAGCGATTCTCCTGCCTCAGTCTCCTGAGTAGCTGGGATTATAGGCGTGTGCCACCACACCCGGTTAATTTTTGTATTTTTCTTTCCTTTCCTAT